TTCTCTCCTTGATATCTCGCCAAATGTCGTATCCACTATGTGGGCTATCCCACCAGGGGAAGTGATTTGTTTCCCAGAGTTCAAATGTAGGCACTCATCTAACAATAAGGTGCTTTGGATGAATGAAAATACATCCACCAAATGGTGTTATTTTAAGCATTTGCACGGTATTTCTGATGCACTAGATGATGTCTACTCTGATGTCTAGACTGGCTGCTGATTCAGTGTAGAAACTTCCAGGTTATTCTTATTCTCCAGTCAAAATAAATAATATATTTTTTTATCCATTTGTCGGAAGAATAAGTACCCACTTATCTATGAATGTTTATGTAAAAAGGCCTTGGCTGGCATTGAGGACACTGAGGTCATGTCTTATGTAATATTTCTTTAAAACAGGGTTGTCCAAACTACGGCCTGTGGGCCAAATGCGGCCAGCGGGCCATTTTGAATCGGCCCTCAACAAATTGAAAAAGTATAATGAAATATGGCCCACAAATAAAACGTGTGCTTTTCTTGTATTGTACATCTTAAATATATATGTTAAAATATATTACACAGTAGTATTCATGTGTAAATAAGCCCACTTCTTTTTGTTGCCCTCACAGAGGGACTTATATACACAGATACAAATTATATAGACAATAATACAAAAACAAAAAACAAAGAAAAAATATAGGGAATCCCTTTCCCATGCCACCCCGTCCCTCCCCCTTCCCACCCATCTTGCCATTTCACAGACAATCCTACCTGATGTTTGTTAGCATCTGAGTTCATCTATCAATTATATTATATATATTATTTATATTATAGCATAACAATATATCCACAAGGAATAATAATAAAGCTTGAGATTGGGAACATTAAGGCCTCCACTGTTTTTGTCATATTGTAGAACTTTGTATCTGATTCTTGGGTATTGGGGGGGATTTCTATACAGTTACTTGGACATTTTATGTGTTGATTTCAGTAGTTTAACGAATACCAGACTGGTATACTGGGTAACTTACTGTGAAACCTTTATGTTAGGAGATTACATTACAATATATGGTATTCAGAATACTTTTTTATTTAAATTAACTTATATTCAGGTTAAAGGTGGGGTAGGTAAGTTTGAGAAACCGGCTCGAGATCGCTAGAATTTGAAAATACACAACCGGAGAAAATCTGCCACTTCTTCACAGAGCCCCTCCTCCAACACACACGAACGCACACATGACCAATGAGGGCAAGAGATAAGTTTGTGCCCCGATGGAAGGCTGACAGGCAGGTAGGCCATCCAATTATTTTAGCCGCCCGGCTAAAATAATTGGTCGTGCTTTTTACAGCACTACGGCTTCCACAGATGACATTTTTTTATGGATTTTTTGTCAAAGCACTTAAAATATTCATTGCTATCGGGATGTTAAGAGCATTCCGTGGAATAGAACAAAAAGTGTATCTCGAGCCGGTTTCTCAAACTTACCTACCCCACCTTTAATACGTATGATGGGCATTATTCCCTTGAGCCAAAGCCGACCCAAATCAGAAAACTTTGAGTTTAAAGTCTGTGGTTTATTAATAATGTCCTTGAAGTTACTGTGATTTGCTAGTAATATTAGAGTTCTGAGACCTCAGTATTTTAAAAATAAAAGCATTTAACATCCAATGTTGTTTTTTGAATAATGAATTAGGGTGCATAAAGATAACAATGTATGTTGCTAAGTATCCAGTTGGCTGCCATTTAACAATTGCAGAAGAAGAGATGAAATCGTTAAATAAGTGATGTCAATACTCTATTCAAGTTTGTTTCATATTTTGAGGAATGTTTTCGTCTGCCGCTACTTTCAGTTTCTCCAAGTCACATCCTCTATATGAAGCGTGGGTTATTTGCTAATTCTTTCCATTGTGGCATTTTGTTTTTATTCTGCGTAAAAAGACAGGTGGGTGGAAATTGGCTAAGTTACTGCTGCCACACAAACAAAACAAACATATATATCTTGGCTCCGACAGCTTGACCATTCAGAAAATGGTCAGTTTAAATGGTGAATACAAATGACTCATTCTGGTCAGTGTCATGTTCTGGATTTGAGTCAAGAACAGTGATGAGTCTCTTTTACACTGAGCTGCTGCTGATTCGCAGGACTCTTGGTTACATATCAAACAATTCTTTAAAGGCAATCAGGGATCTGTTTTTGATCACCATCTGTCTGGCTTCTCTATCCCAGTCTTTCAGTAATCCATGTATGAACAGGCTGTTTACAAAAACTGAAACAGTGTTTGACAAACCTGATCCAAGAAATGTCACATGTTTTTAACATGTCATTTGTCCATGGTTGTGTTCCAGGCAGTGACAGCACCTAATGAATACAATGCATACATTATAATCCGGTAAAAAATTGATAGTGTTTTTAGAACAGCCTTAGTGCCAGATGGGGACTTGAGCGATGATCATATTTAATAAGAACGGTTGTTTCTAAAATCACTCCCCTGCAGTTTTGATGAATGCCTCTGCACCCGGTTGGTCAGGACGTGCAGCTGGTGGTCTGCACATTTCATTTGATTTTCCTTTGCCATTGTTCTGCCTACTGTGTTCTTGGCGCAAAGGCAATATTATACTTTGCAACATGGATAATTGCAATCAGACTCAAAAATAAATCACAACCGTAGTGTAATCTTGCATGATAACGGGCCCTCCAAAATCCTAACAACACAACATAAAAACTAGCTTGTAGGAATTTAAACTACTTCCTGGTAACAATCCCACTATGCAGAGTGCATCGCTTTATAGATGCAAAACTTAAAAGTGTACGATGCTACTGCTATGAGTTTTTCACTCTGATGATTATTTACAATTACACAAACAGTATAGGCGCGAAAAACACACAACTGCAAAAACAGGACCTATAGACATGCACTAATGGAGAGATGTGCCACCTCTCCATTAGTGCATGCATTATTGTTCTAGGAGCAGTTGGGGGTTCAATGCCTTGCTCAATGGCAGCTCGGCTTTACATTACATGTCACTTGTAAGTCACTTTTACCCACAGCAACTTATATACACTCAATACTGTGGCTGCTGACTGCAGTGGGGATTGAACCAGGACTCTCCTGATCCAAAGATCAGCGCACTCACACAGGGCGAACTGGCACCTCTCCAGTTACGAGTCCACACCTCATATTTTAGGTCTGATTAGGTCTTGAACTGACAACTCTTAAGTTCCCGAGCCAAGTCCCTACTCAACATGATGATTGATAAATGTGCTCATGACTATACAGTATTTGCACAGCAACACTAGTCAACATATTTTCATATAACCTTACTACAAATTACTGTGTGTAATGTGAAAGGTGTCCAACAGAGAATTGTCACCTGACTGCATTTTTTCCCTTTTTAGGCGATTTAGCCTCTTTTGGCACACTGTTTTTGTGACCAGCAGCTTAGCACAAAATGGCAGGCAGACAACATTGGAAAATATTTGTTGAGCATTATAGCTTCAGGAGTTGGTCAAGAGTAGACGAGTCCTAAGCAGAGCTAAAATAATTGTAACATTGGACTTACATACATCTGGTGACCAGAAAGTCGTTGTTACGCCCCACCTAAATTCCTCCGGTTCAAAGAGAAAAATGAAGATAATTAGCTAAAAATGTAATCGGAATGGTATGTTTGATTGCATTGATTGCTTTTGATGCTGTAAAATACAAATAAAAAACCAAGATATGTAAGATCTTGCTATTCACTGTAGTGACTTGCATTGTTCAGTAAAAAAAGGAAATACTTGAAAACACACTCAGACAGGCTAACATTTATACAGGGAGATTAACTCAACGCTTTGCCAATATTGTTTCAACTGTGATGCTATTAGAGCAAAGTGAGGTGAACATTTAATTGAAATTGAAAGAGAGAGGGAGGGATAGACAAAGAAGAGATGAGTAATGATAAAAGAAGAAGAACAGGGCATTCATACAGTGTGTGTGTGTGTGTGTGTGTGTGTGTGTGTGTGTGTGTGTGTGTGTGTGTGTGTGTGTGTGTGTGTGTGGTGTGTGTGTGTGTGTGTGTGTGTGTGTGTGTGTGTGTGTGTGTGTGTGTGTGTGTGTGTGTGTGTGTGTGTGTGTGTGTGTGTGTGTGTGTGTGTGTGTGTGTGTGTGTGTGTGTGTGTGTGTGTGTGTGTGTGTGTGTTTTGCCTCAGGAACAGTTGATGGATTTGCTGCTTGACTGCTCACACAGATTGCTGCCTGCTGTGATGGCAGCCTTGAACTGAAATTACATGCACACTCACACACGTACACAAAGAGAGAACTACACATAATTGCCATTTTCTGTGTGTGTGCGAGCGCGTTTGTGTGTATTCTTAAGTCGGGACGTGCGGGTGTGTTGCCTCCAGGAGGACGTTTCAAAGCACTGTGGAGGGATGGATGAACACAAGGCCGAGCCAAGCACCAGAGGAGAAGACAATTGAAGGGGTTCAAAAATATGATTTTATGTGCTTATTAGATACATTTATTAAATTCTGTGTGATTTCTATTTAAATTATTGACACGGTGGCTGCTTCTCCAATATGTATCCTTTTGTTTGTTTTAATTGGTGAATCAAGATGCATAACATCAGAAGGGATAAACAAAGATTCATTAATACAGCTCAGTGAGAGTTCTCTGTTACTCAAGAGTTTAAAGATACAATAGATAATTGAGGCAGTCGGAGTAGATTAGGAATTATCTTGATGTTATGTATTACAACAGTGGAGATAATTACCCGATCCACACATCTCTAAATCAAGACCATAATATGATTAGTGCCTTTTTTCAGGTGGTTAATTAAAACAAATCTAACTGAGAGAGAATGGGCAAATCCTGTATGTTTGTGGTTTCACAGTGGCCATGAACTGTCCTTGTCTTTGTTTTGTTGTTTTAATCCTCCCATGTTATAGATATATTGGTTATTTTCTCACGTTTGGATTTAGAAATAATTAGTTTTTCCTGTTTGTAACTGTTGGAACGACTTATTGAACATCCTTATTCAACAGAACTTTGATTTATTTCTCCTGTAGTGCGGCGTCGGGGAGCAGCAGCGAATCAGAGAGCAGCTCGGAGTCGGACACAGACGAATCAGAGAGCAGCTCCAGTGACAGCGAGTACAATCAGGCCTCGCGTACACACACTCCAGAGGTACAATGACAATTAAACTCTGTGCTAACATTGTGGATATAATGAGACATATGACGTGGAAAACATACGCAGAACTGTTTGTCCTTTTTTTTAAGAAACACACTTAATTATTTATTTTATGTGGAAAAACCACTATGTAATGATATAATACAAAATAAATGATATAAGACAATATGCAAAAGAAAACAGCTCTGAGGTATTCTATAATGTATATCATTTATTATGTTTAAGCAGCTGTCTCAGTGGTACTGAACATAACAACCATAAAGCGGTCACTCTGGTCCATAAATGAAGTGCATTCAGCCTCTTACAGTAGCAACAAGAGGGCATTTATTTAGGTGGGTATAGGTATAGGTATAAAACAAGAAATAAATCAAACTTAATAATGGTTTATTCCATTGTTCCAAAACAGGCAGTACAGTGGCCACCTGCATATTCCTAGCCCCAATAATGACTTACTTATGAACCCTTATTTCTTATCAAAGGCAATTTTTTGAATGACTGCTTAATGTTTGGGAATTCTGTAACACAAGCTAATGCTTCAGTCCCCATGTTAAGCAATAATTCAACAACTTGCAGTCAAATATTTTGACATTGTCATGTGTGTCTGCAGCTGAGACTTCCTAAGGTGTTCACATTTTATCAGGAGACGGATACACTTTCATTTTATTCTCCCAGGTTCATCTCTATTGCCTCGTCTGACTGATGCACATTATCTCCTCCTATAGTCTCTGGGTGGTTTTCTGGAAGTCATAAAAGTCTAGCTGCAGAGAGCTGTATTATAACATTGTTTATCATTATTTCAACGTCTCAACGCTGCCTGGTTTCATTATGCATATACAGTCATATCCACCGGGAGAAAGTGAGATAATCATGTACTAGCTGCCGTGGTTTTAAAGAATTCAAAACATAGTAACTGAATACATAGATAAAAACGTTCAAATGAAATAATGAATAAGTTATTAAAGGGAATCACATCTGCCCTTGAGATTTTTTACCAAAATAAAATAATATGTGTGATCCACTGTCTCAGTCCGACCTCGATTGTTTCTTATTCTTTCTTCATCTCTTAAAAACACTTTTATTGTCAGGAAAAAAGGCTATATATCATGTTTAGCTAATAGTGTAGCATAACTGTTGTGTTTTGTAAATGTATTTTAAACATATTATTGGATGTATTTCAAGTTTTTGGGGGAACTATGACTGATTAATCCTATTTAGAACATGAGGTGCCCTTCAGCCTCTTGTGGCAAAAATGAGTATTACATCAATGCCGATCACCTGCCAAAACGTTGTTCTCCCCTATTTCCATTGATGAAAAAAATACTTTATCAGATTTATATTATCCTGGCATTACTTATTTTCTTAAACACATTAGAGATAACAATTCAGACCTGAATGAAATGAATCACCAGAATAATGTTTTGCCTCTCTGGGCTTCCATACACAACACAACAACCATCCTAATACATTACATTACATTGCATTTCATTTAGCTGACGCTTTTATCCAAAGCGACTTACAATAAGTGCGTTCGACCAACAAAATACAAACTTGAAGAAAACAGAATCATATAAGTACATCAGGTTTCATAGAGCAAAAACATTTCAAGTGCTACTCAACTGGCTTTAGGTAAGCCAGTACTTTATTAGTATATAAGTGCTTTGTTAATAGTTCTATCGCTCGAAGTGGAGTCGAAAGAGATGAGTTTTCAGTTTGCGCCGGAAGGTGTGTAAGCTTTCTGCTGTCCTGATGTCAATGGGGAGCTCATTCCACCATTTTGGAGCCAGGATAGCAAACCCACGTGTCTTTGCTGATGGGAACTTGGGTCCCCTTCGCAGGGAGGGTGCAGCAAGCCGTTTGGTTGATGCAGAGCGGAGTGCACGTGCTGGGGTGTACGATTTAACCATGTCCTGGATGTAGGAAGGGCCAGATCCATTCGCAGCATGGTACGCAAGTACTATTGTCTTGAAGTGGATTCTAGCAGTTACCGGAAGCCAGTGGAGGAGCGGCGTGGTGTGGGAGAATTTAGGAAGGTTGAAGACCAGGTGAGCCGCTGCATTCTGGATGAGCTGCAGAGGTCGGATGGCACATGCAGGTAGACCAGCCAGGAGGGAGTTGCAGTAGTCTAGGCGTGAGATAACGAGAGCCTGGACCAGAACCTGCGTGGCTTTCTGGGTCAGCTGGGGACGTATCTTCCTGATGTTGTAAAGCGTGTATCTGCAGTAGCGGGTTGTAGCAGCTATGTTTGCAGTGAAGGACAGGTTGTTATCTAGGGTCACACCCAGATTCCTTGCAGTCTGAGTCGGGGAAACAACAGAGGTGCCGATGTTGATTGTTAGGTCAAGAGTGGGACAATCTTTTCCCGGAAGGAAGAGCAGCTCAGTTTTGTCAAGGTTGAGCTTGAGGTGATGAGCAGACATCCACTGAGAGATGTTCGCTAGACAAGCAGAGATGCGTGCGACGACCTGGGTCTCTGAGCGGGGAAAGGACAGAATTAAATTGGGTGTCGTCAGCGTAGCAGTGGTATGAAAAACCATGCGGGCTAATGACAGATCCGAGCGAGTTTGTGTACAAGGAGAAGAGGAGGGGACCAAGAACAGAGCCCTGAGGGACCCCTGTAGTTAATTGACAAGGGTTGGACTCCGACCCTCTCCAAGTAACCCTGTAGGTGCGGTCTTTGAGGTATGAGGTGAGGAGGGAAAGTGCAGAGCCTGAAACTCCAAGTTCTTGGAGAGTGCGAAGGAGGATCTGATGATTCACCGTGTTGAATGCAGCGGACAGGTCCAAAAGGATGATGACAGAGGAGAGGGAGGCTGCTTTAGCAGTGTGCAGTTCCTCAGTGACAGCAAGGAGGGCAGTTTCTGTGGAGTGACCTGCCTTGAAACCAGACTGGTGCGGATCCAGAAGGTTGTTCTGATTGAGATAACAGGTGAGTTGTTTAAAGACAGCGCGTTCAAGTGATTTAGACAGGAACGGGAGTAGAGAGACAGGCCTGTAGTTTATAACATCAGACGGGTTGAGAGTGGGTTTCTTTAGGAGACGGTTTACTCTTGCCTCCTTGCGACTGTTTGGAAAGTGACCAGAAGTTAGAGAAGTGTTGATGAAATGGGAGAGAAACGGTAGAATATCAGGAGCGATAGTCTGAAGGAGGTTTGAAGGGATAGGGTCCAGAGGACAGGTGGTAGGGCGGGCAGAGGTAATGAGGGTAAGAACCTCACTTGGAGAGAGAGGGGAAAAGGAGGTAAGTGTGTTGGTGGAAGGAGGGTCTGGTGACCCAGCGGTGAGTAAAGGTGAGTCAGAAAAAGAAGAGCGAATATCATCAACCTTTTTTCAAAGTGGTTAACAAAGTCGCTTGACAGAAGGGAGGAGGGGGAAGGGGCTTTGGGGGGGTCCAGGAGGGAGGAGAAGATGGAAAATAGTTTTTTAGGATTGGAATAGGAAGATTGGATCTTATTTTGAAAGAAAGTGCTTTTTGCCTGAGAGATCGAAGCAGAGAAAGACGAGAGGAGAGCCTGATAGGTTAGGAGGTCGTCACGGTGTTTGGATTCCCACCGTTTCCGCTCTGCTGCCCGAAGGACGGTTCTATTAGCACGCAGTGCATCATTTAGCCAGGGAGCAGGAGGGGACTGACGAGCCTGCCGAGATGTGAGAGGACAGAGAGAGTCCAGAGAGGATGAGAGAGTAGAGAGGAGAGTTTCTGCAGCAGAGTTTGGAGGTAGGAGTTGGAACGAGTCAGAGGAAGGGAGGGCTGAGAGCACCGATGAGGCAAAGCTAGAGGGGGAGAGAGAACGAAGGTTACGGCGGACAGGTGCAGGATGAGAAGAGATTAGTTCGTTATGTTTGGAAAGGGGTAGAGAGAATGAAATTAAGAAGTGATCGGATGTGTGGAGCGGGTTTACAGAGAGGTTAGAAGTAGTGCAGTTCCTTGAGAATATGAGATCAAGGACATTGCCAGCTTTATGAGTTGGTGGGGACGGAGACAGTGAGAAAGCAAAGGCGGTTAACAGAGATGTTAGTTCGTCTATCTTCCCTGTCTGGAGGTTGAAGTCTCCGAGAAGTACAGCGGGAGGGCCAGTTTCAGGGATGTGTGAGAGGAGATTATCTAATTCCTCCAAGAAGTCCCCCAAGGCGCCTGGTGGACGGTAGAGAACAACAATGGTTAATTGTATAGGATGGGTTACTGTGACGGCATGGAATTCAAAGGTGGAAGGAGTGAAGTTAGGTAGCTTGAAGAGGGAAAGGCTCCATTTGGGAGAGAGCAGGAGACCAGTGCCACCTCCTCTGCCAGTGGGTCTGGGTGTATGGGAGAAGGAATATGCAGTGGAGAGAGCTGCTGGGGTGGATGTGTTGGATGGAGTAATCCACGTCTCAGTGAGTGCAAGGAAATCCAGAGACTGCAGGGAAGCGTAGCCAGAGATGAAGTCAGCCTTAGGAACAGCTGACTGGCAGTTCCACAGGCTGCCTGAAACTAGATGTTGGATCTCAGTGGAGCATGTGGGATAGACGAGAGCAGGCCGGTTATATCGATTACGAGATACACGGGGCCAGTGATAATTGCGAGAAGACACATGAACAGGAATGGAGAAAATACACATTATTATAGCATGAGGGGCTAAACCACCAAATAAAATAAAACACCAGCGATACTTAGTTCAATCAAAGCAGGATTTGCCTCCTCTTTGCCTCCCTCGTGACTCCAGCAGGACTCTATTGTCTTTGTCAGTCTTACTCCAGCAGGACTCTATTGTCTTTGTCAGTCTTCGACTGTCTGACGCTCCAGGAAAGTGCTACCTAAAAATGGACACCTGATTGCTGAGTTCTCACAGATGTGGGGCCATGCCCCTTTAATTAGTTAACTCTCTGCAGCTGGTGGCCCTCAAAAGGAAATCTAGACTGGCTTCCTCCTGATGTGTTATTGTGTCTTTTCAGTGGCCCAATGGTTTTACAATTACATTAAACCCTAAGTTATGAGTTGAACCCTTAATACAGTTACACCTACTCAATAAAGCTCTTAGTATTCTACAAATGTTTAAATCAAAGTTAACCCTAGCAGTCAGTTAGTTCAGTTTTAAAGTTTCAGTCAAATTACTTGTCCCAAGTTTCTGCCTGACAGATACTGTAGCGGTTTTGAGATTTAAAATCACAATTTCAGTCATATCAACTACAGAGCATTTATACAGAGTACACACACTGAAACAGAGAAGTCTAAAGACAGAATGTTACTCACACAATTCTAGAAGTCACCAGTTGTTATCCTGTCAAAATCGAGTTGCACACAATAATACAATGCAGGAGTTGAGTGGAATATTTAATAACCTATGCAATGTTTGTTCCCTTGTAGCCCGAGCCCTCCGCCAACAAGTGGCAGTTAGACAGCTGGTTGAATAAAGTCCAAGCTCAAACCAAACCCCTGCTTCCCCTTCAGCAAGAACATGCCACAGGTTGGTACAGTTCGTTATAGCTAGTGTGTCAATCAGCAACTAGTAATGCAGTAAAAAGAGATCCTGTTTGGATTGATACTAATTCTGGTTAAATGGTCCTCTGCTCAGGCGCCATCTCCCGGCGTACTTCTCCAGGGAGAGAAGCACCAGGAGTGGGTACAGCTGTCAAGACTAAGCCCTGTGGATCCACCAGCACCCCTGCTCCTGCTGCACCCACGCTCGAACACAAAGAACCCCGAGGAGCCTTATGGTAGGGGATACAAGTGTATTTGTCTGGGAAATGTGCCCATGTAACTTCTCAAATGACATCTGTATAATACACGCTGATAGAATAATTGTCTGCAACAAATGACAAAAAAGATCAAACTATTCTCGCTCCCTGCAGCCCGGCCAGAGAGAAAGCCAAGGCCAAGCTGAGCCAGAAGGCCTCCGGGGAGGGTCAGAGGTCAAAGATGAGGATGTCACCGGGCCTGTTGTCAGGGCTGGAGGTCACGACCCCGAGGAGGATCACCACAGGGAAGAAACAGCCCAGACGGACAGAGAGGTCAAACAGTGTGGAGGAGAATCAGAGCCAGACGTGGAGCAGAACAAACCAGCAGAGGTAAGGAGGAGAGAGCCCTGCACATCCGGGATACATTGTGATCTATCCCAAAATAAAGACTTACTTATATGCTGTTTAAATGTTCTAGAATAACATTTAAATTATCATATAATAATAACAATAATATTAAGCTTTTTATAGACTTTTCTTGTTACTACACTGTTGCCCATAACGTTGTAATCATGTAATTGTTTAGCTCTTCTCATGAAACGGTTGTGACAATGTGATTTATTCTTGATAGACAAAGAATGTATCTTCTCAAAACTTTATTGATCAATATCTCCCAAACATATGTGAAAATTAAACCACAGTTAAAAGAGGAATGTGTCTGAAAACCAAATGATTCCAACTGTATGGGCAACAGTGTATAATAAAATGAATACGTTCCATGTACCAGGTCCAGGTTTTATGGGGCACGGGGACCAAGTTACTAGAATGTTCCCACAAAGGCGCCAACACTCATTCGCGTAGGTCTCCCTGTCGGGTGTTCCTTTTTTTGATAATGACCGCTGCACATTATCCCTTACTTATACAGTAGATAGATATAACACTAATACTTTTACCTTAACGTAGCAAGTGCTTTGTTATTGCTGTAAATATTAAGAAACCTTTAAATTATCTGTTTTGTTTTTGTTAGCTCTTCATTTATAAAGCTAAATCCCATGTCATACAGGAAGGCATCTGAGTGAATGAGCATGTGGAGAGCAGTCTTATAACTGAATTACTCTCAAGTGTGATATTTCAGGCAGGACCAAACTGTTCGAACAAATGATTTACGTCTAGTAACTGTATATTATAGCTAACATGTCATTTGTTGTTGGTATAACTAGGAGCAGTGTTAAGGCAACACTGTAACTCAGCATGGAGAGCTTAGAGTGGATCGCTGAGCCTCTTGGCAGCTCGCCATTTAGACCTGTCACTCCCACATCTGTTGTGAAGAATGCTCAGATTGAGTAGATGCCATTCTGGTTGCTCAGCTTGATGTTAGGCTAATTGTGAGAAAAACAGAGCTTTGTTTCTGTATTTCTTTCTCCTTCAGACACTCATTCCCTTCCCCTTTCCATTTGTAGGCTTTCCGCATTCGAACAAGTTCGCCCGAATGCATGCTGTTTTCAATTATTTCACGCTGTCTTGTATATTTTCTTCATTTTAACACACATTCCCCCCCTGCAGCTGGCCAAGGCGAGCATTATCTGCTGCAGTTTGTCAGTGAGATACTGCATGACTGTAGCAGTGCCTTGCTCAAGGGTGAATTTAATATGACGCTGCCTTTTTTTCTCCGCTGTAGCCCTGCAGCGAGGGAGAAGGACCTGTTGCCTCCTCCCTCCCTGGAGCTTCAAAACCCCCCTAGGCCACGCAGCAAACCCCCCAGTGGGAAAACAGCCCCCAGGAAAGAGCCTCGCAGTGCTACCAACACAAACAACAACACAGCGACTCCACCAGCCGCACTCCAGCAAGCCCCCACGCCAATTCCTGCTGTCAGTGTAAACCAGGTTAGTTTTTCGAGGTGGAATACACATGTGTGTGTTATATAACGTTTCCTGTCAGTGATGGCCTAATGGATGCATATAATAATACTAATCTCTCAAAGTTAATCTAGTTATTACTCAAGGGGCACTATTTTGCTCATTTTCAGGATCATATTTGTATTTTGAGCCCCTGCTGGGACATGTCTCCATGCTCTAATGTTCACAAAGCTCTTTATTTTTCTCATACCTCCTGTGCTGCAGCACCTCTTTTCACCCTCTGTCTGAAACCAGAGCCCAGTCTGCTCTGATTGGTTAGCTGGCCCTCTGTATAATCAGTGTTACACTTACAGTATGTTGGTACTGTAGTATTGTTGCTGCCGCCATGATAATGCGAGCACTATCTGTTCCTACAGTGGTGATTTTTGTCGGCTATATCCAACTCCTGGGAAACTAGTTGGTAGGGACGGGAATTTGAAGACAAATGTATATTAAAATGTTCAACCCCCAAAAAAAATCGATTATCCAGTTAACTGAATTGACGTAGCCTACAAAAAAAAAAGAGAGAAAAAAGTATTTTGAACCGTTCTTCGTTTTTCCTCCACCACTGTAGTGGGTTTCCCTGGGATGGGGTGCACGGCTCACTGAAGTAGAGTTCCATTTCCTTGTATTCTGGGTCGTTGCTGCAGCTGGGCATGGCTGGTTCTCACTGTCTGACTCTGGGGCTGCGCTGGTGCCCTCCGCCTGGAACACATGGTCCACAACGGCAGCAGCGGTATCATCAGCAGGAGCGCTCGTCGGGTACTTGCTTATACATTTCGGGACAGCTTTTCTCTGATATCCGAGCAGAGAGGCTGTGCTACAAAACACAGGTGTTTGTGTCAGGGATCCAGATATTTTAAATGGCATCGTCATATACATTTAATGAATCAACTTGGTAATCCTTTTAGGCACACCTCCCATTATTACATCAAAAAACATATATTCATAACTCATAATCGAATACCTGAATCATTTTGAATATTCGGATAATCATTCCCATCCCTACTAGTTAGCGCGTGAGTAAACAAAATGTTTTCACCACATGTAAAGACTGATACTCAGTGAATACATGTAGCTTGTACCAATTTACCAATACCTTTTCACTGCCATGCAGTTCATGGTAAACATCCAAGTGGGTGTTATGGAAGAAAATGTAGGTCAAATTTGGTTATGTGAACAATTACATAGTTTTAACATCTCAAAATGTTCCCAGATGAATCACAAGCATTAACATTGACAGCATTACACCTTGGGAAATGTACCCTTCATTTATCCACATCTACAATAAGTGAAGAAACCCTCACTGCACACATGTAACACTGTCCAATCATCCTGTGGTGATCACTTCATCCTTATTGTCTCTGGATGATTTGTCAAAGCCATAAAAATCCAATGGGCTAAAAACGGTATTATTACATGACTATTATGGCTCAACGTCGGCTGGTTTCATGGAAATGTGGAGATTAAGAGAGGGAGTCAAAGAGAGAGGACAGAGGCATCGACCGTCGTCTCATCCCATAATGACCGAGCACTGTGGTTTTATGAAGATTGGGTGGTTTCAAGGAGAAAGAAAGAAATAAAGGACATTTATTGTAATCTGGCTTAAAAATGGATTACAGATTTTTTTTTAAATGACTGGAATCAGTGCACTTATATTTCATTTTATTCAAAAGGGTAAGATATTGATTTAAAAACAAATGTAATGTATTTAATTATTTCACATCAAAATATCAACAAGGAATCAACGTTAGTTAGTTGTTAGCTGTTTCAAATGAGTCCATACTCCAAAATAAATGACCCTGTAAATGTTGACTTTATGTAATCCAGAGAAAATCTACTGAAATAAAATAAGAAAATAAGTCAGATAAGAAAAGAAGTGAGCCACAACGTAATCTGATTATTTTTAGGATGTGCCATGCTTTAGCCTTTGTTGAGCTTGTTGACACCGGTGACTCATCATCATTATATCTGTTTCTAAAAACAAATTGACCTTCTGTATTTTTTGCATCATTCTGAATAAAATATGCTCAAAGAACTCTGAGTACAGAGACCCATCTATAATACTTACAAAAGGGAAAAGTGCATTTTGACATCGACAGCAACAAAAGCAGCTCATCTTAAAGGTTTAGCAGATGGACAGGAGAGTGACGATTCATCATTCTGACACATAACTCGTAAACTTAAATCTACTTATACTATCTTTATGTTTCAGGAAAAGGAAAAAAAAACTCCATTTATTTAAATTAGGGCTGTCAGTCGATTAAAATATGTAATCGCGATTAATCGCATGATGTCCATAGTTAATCGCGATTGATCGCAAATGAATCCCACATTTTGTATCTGTTCTAAATGTACCTTAGAGGGATATTTTTCAAGTTTTTAATACTCTTATCAACATATGAGTGGACAAATATGCTTTATGCTAATGTTTATTATCATTTGAACAATGACAAATATTCTCATGAATATTAAACACAACAACCTCTGAACATTACAAATATTCGCCTCAATTCAACCTGGAACCTCTCTCATACAATAATACAATACAAATGGTGTGTGTGTGTGTGTGTGTGTGTGTGTGTGTGTGTGTGTGTGTGTGTGTGTGTGTGTGTGTGTGTGTGTGTGTGTGTGTGTGTGTGTGTGTGTGTGTGTGTGTGTGTGTGTGTGTGTGTGTGTGTGTGTGTGTGTGTGTGTGTGTGTGTGTGTGTGTGTGTGTGTGTGTGTGTGTGTGTGTGTGTGTGTGTGTGTGTGAGACACTGTGATGGATCGTTGGAGCTATGTGCAACTCAAGGCATATGCTCGAACGGGAGCTGCCTGGACGCTGCAATCTTGTTGCCCACACTATCCGTGCTGACTTTCTGTACAATGTCCCACTGTCTGGCTTACCTGCATAAAGTGCTCGGCGCAGTTGTCGGCGAAATGCCGCTCCTCTGTTTTCATAACTGTCAAAGCATGAGACTGAAGTTCCCACTGTGGGTCAAAATAATGCGCTGTGACCCCGAGGTAACTGTCATTACTGACTGAATGAAGTCCAATAGTCTCCGGAGAGCGTGGAAGTGTGGTCTGCCGCAAGCGGGCGGCAGGAGCGGGGCTGTCAGCATCAGCTTAGATGTTATTTTAAACTCGATGCGCTCTGAAACTACAGGGCGGCCGAGGACAAAAAATACACATGCGTTAATCGCGTTAAAATAATTAGTGGCGTTAAAACAAATTACGTTATTAACGGGTTAACTTGACAGCCCTAATTTAAATGCATATGTATTTGTTTTATATATACAATTTTAAATATATTAAAATCTATACAGTAACTTTTATGACATTTCATTTACTTTTCCAGCTGACTTAAAAAGTACATTGTAAAAAATTATGTATTAAAAGGAAACTTACTGTAATTTACAAGCCCTGTCAATTTACATCCATCCAATTGTGTTTTTTGCTTTACAAACTTATAGACTTTGCATTCATAATCTAAAACCTACAGTAAGTCTTAACTTGCACCATCTGAAAAATCCTCCCATTTTGCCCCCGGAGTAACCTACAAATATTAGAGTCTTGCTAGAAAACATTGCTGAAGAGTTCTGCTGAAGAAAGGAAATCTATTGCCAGAAATCTAAAGACGCATTATACAGGGGGACAGTTTTTCTGTTCTTTTCCAACAACACACAACATGGCGTTTTGATGAAAATTGATTTTGCAGATGGCAACATGCATTGGAAACATTCCAAAAGTCTGAGGAAACTGTCGCTTCTTGTCTGCCAAGAGAGTGGGTTCTGCTCGAGAATGGGAGAAATGAGCGCTGTTTTCTTCACTGCATCTGCCTCTGTTGCTGCTTTCTCATGTTGATGTCCACTTTGGTTCTTTAATCTCAAACAGCAATCATGGATCACTTCACATCTAAAATCAAGCGTTCCACATCAGAGACATAATTATGATTGGATATAAAACAAGACGCAGGTGTAACTCTGCAGAGCTGTCACGAAAATCTACTTTTGGGAAAACCCCAAAAAGCATAAAAGGACCTCTCAAACTCAAAATAAATAAATAAGTATTGATGATGGTGCAATGGTGTGGTATTTAGAAATCAATGGTTAAAGTAGTTATAAAGTAGATAATAAAATACATCCTGCTTTTGATTGGACTGAAAAAGTTGTTTGAATTATTTATGAATCGCTGGTTATGGTTATTTAAAATGATTTCTTAATTAATAAGAACACATAGAATATCACCAAGCCTTATTCTTTAAGTGACGCTCATCTCATAGCTCTTTGTGCATTATCGATGCAACATGACTTTTCAAGGCCAAACCTACAGGATCAATAACTGTAACTTAATCTATTCTAGTGCAATAATTATATTCATACCAGACCGATTTCTATAGGGAAATAAATACTCTTATTCTCTTGGAAAACTACATGTATTTATTTCTCTTATACTATGTCTGTGTATGTGTTTATATAGGTTATATAAATATAGGTTTTAGTGCATGTAAATGGTCTTCAAAGGTTAAAATCCCTGTGTTTCTCTCCCACACACTCCCCCCTGTCTGAAACGCCTCCATTGGACTTCTTTGTTTACTTCCATAACATAAAGACATCACTATATGACACTGAACACATTGTACGTGATAGGCTAAGGGGCGGGACATCTCTAAGTGGTTGACCAATCACAACAGAGCCTGCCAGCTAACCAATCAGAGCAGACTGGGCTCTGGTTTCAGACAGAGGGTGAAAAGAGGTGCTGCAGCACAGGTAGTATGAGAAAAATAAAGAGACAAAATACAAATATGAACCTGAAAATAACCATTATATGTCCTCTTTAAGCACACTTGTTTAAATATGTACTTATTACTTTATTATATATTTATTTAAGCACATTATAAAGAATTGTAAGCATGTAAGAAAAGATTGCATACATAGGCTTCATACAGTAGAAGGTGCAACAGAATAATAATTGTTTTAGTTCTTTTTTTATTCAATCCTCTCAAAGCTCACCTTCTTTGGACGTTGTTGTGTTAATGTCTCTAAAGCAGGACAAGAAGAAACACAGAGGCCCAAGCACCAAAATCACCCCAAAGTCCCGAGAGTTCATCGAAACAGATTCCTCGTCCTCAGAATGCCACTCGGATTCGGAGGAGGCGATCAAAGTCCCCGCTCTGCCTCCTCAGACTGCGCGCTCTGCCATCAGCACACACACTCTGTCCAGCACGCACACACACACTCCTCTCCTCCCGTGCCTCACTTCTGCTGGCAGTATGGGACCCTCGGGGGGGAAGGGGCTCCGGGTCAAAGACAGTAGCAGCGTGATAGCTAACGGTAGCAGCAGTAACGGTAGCATCGGGGCTTGTGGGAACACCCTGAGCGTTAGCAACATTAGCGGCTCATTTGGCCCCTCTGTGCCTGATCCTGGGGGGTCAGGGGTCCCATGCAAAGAGTCCATGTCTCCCCCGTCCAACATCGGAAACGAGGCGCCCCTGTCTCCGTTCAGGGAATATCAAGAAGTCCAGAGTTTATGGGTGAAAATTGACCTGAGCTTTCTCAGCAGGGTGCCTGGCCAGGGTCCGGGGGACAGAGCCAAAGTAGAGAGGGACGGAAGTGAGAGACAGGGGGAGAGGACAGAGAGACAGAAGCAGGCAGAGAGAGAGAGGCAGAAGCTGCCTAAAGCTGAGAAACAGGAAGAGGAGAATGAGCGATTAGCGCAGGACAGAGAGAGGCAGATGGACAGAGAGGACAGGGGGGAGAGGGAGAAGGTGTGCCAAGGTCTGGGGGTCCTGGATACCCCCCCTGTGCTGGAGCAGAGTAATCCCAGGCTGGCAGGCAGGACGGAGAGAGCGGAGAGCGGAGGCAAACACAGGGTGCCGGTAGCAGGAACTATGGTGGTCCCCGCAGAGAAACACACCAGCAAGAGCAAGAGGAAACACAAGGTGGGCTTCAGTTTAAACCCCTTCACATTCTCTCTTACTTTTACCCTTAACTTTTCAAATTGTGTCCTATTGTAGGTAGATAAGGTTTGTTTTCTTCCCTATCAGACAGAGCACAGCGAGGCATCAGTCAACGGCAATAAGAAGCTGCGGTTGGACAAAGACTGTCTGCTCCTCCCACCATGCATCTCCCCAATACACAACCACAAGAACAGCACCACAGAGTGAGTGCACTGTAAATACACACTAGCTCCAGAATGAAATATACTCTGTTGTATATTTACTTTATGCAATTCATAATGCATAAAACATTTGTAAAGCTGGGGTTTGTTTTTTTGTTTGTAATTTGGGCCTTTTTTCAGTCCATACAGCTGAAAACCAACAGAAGTGAAAAAATGTTGCTGTGGGATTTACTTTTTGGATACTGCAGGAAGGACATTCATTAAAATACAGGGAGCTCGGTTTTCGGAACAATTTGAAACCTACATTGTTAACAATCAATCATTATTGTCATCCTATCAGTATGTGCCTTCATTTCCTTTATAGGCACTTTCCGAAAGTTTGGGATGGTCAAATGTGAAACAATCGGCAGGACTTTGTATGGCTTCACCCTGATCTGCCGCAGATATACGATTCAACAGGGTTCTGCTCTGAAACATTGCTACACATGCCTACTAGTGTGTTCTCTTAACCGTGAGTTAACACGACACCATTTTGTCCCAAATGTCCCTTTAACTGTTGTTGGAGATCTCGTACGAAAGCCTCAAATGACAAGAGAAATGCCACTTCCCTCATTGCTAGCTGGAAATCTTCATCTTAATCGGAGCTAAATATTGCAGGTAGTTTAGTTTCAGTCCCCATTAATGAACTGTTACAAAAACAGTAAATGGGGCAGCTTTAGCCAACATGGCTAATTCCCAGCTGTTGTCCCCGGCCAGATGATAATAGACAGCCTAAAGGCACAATACATCAGGTACATTTCTGGACCTGTATGTGAGTCTCAGTCCTGCAGTATCAAAGCTATTTTGTAATGACTGCAGAGGGGCAAGAAGAGTATCAGGGGGAGGAGTTGTTACAACTGCCACAGGTCATCAGTTTCAGTATACATTTGCAAACACACTAGATGTTCAGTTACTTGAAGCAAAAACACACTCTGCTGCAGAAGAGTAGATCCTTGCTGCCCATTCATTCCGCATATCCTTCTTTTTCTTCTTTGGTTTTTTCTTCAAATGGGATGGATAAACAACTTGGATTGCTAACTTGCCGACATACATTTTTGGAGAAAATATCTACGGTGTGTGCTTGTGCTTTGTGATGTAGATTGGAGAGCAAAAAGACAAGACTGGTAAATGTCTTCTTATGACAACACACAACTACCAAAGAAACACATGGACTTAGTCCCCATTATTACACAGTGTTGTTCTGTGATCAGATGAGACCTGATGACTTTGAGGGTCCTATAGTGTGTAGGTAACATTAGCACACAGGGAGGAAAGGTATGCATGCTCACTTTGAATCAAAATATCAAATACCCTACCTTAAAATAAAAATGGCGGCTTTACATGACAAACATCTGATGAAATAATAACTACAACAAAAAGCTCAACTTCCTCATTCTTCCCCTAAACAACACATCCTAGTAGAGGCAATCGGACCAGTTTCCTGGGTATTTTTAGGAGGGCTAAACATTTCTAATGAGGTGACGTAAGACCCTGTAGGGGAACGTTCAATCCCCGCTGCGACACAGGAACTGAGTTCAGCTTTCCGAGTTAATTATTAAAAACAGACGTAAGCTGGATGTGGCTATAAATAAACATCAGTGTGACATCCACTAAGAACATGTTTTTATAGCATCTCCGTGCTATCAACGAGTGAAGAGCAAGGAGAGGTGGGAGGAAAAGAGGAGGGGGGGGGGGGCTGACCGGGACTTGAACCGTGACATGGTACGGCAGACGTCTGAGAGGCTTTTTATGGAAGCTGTAAAGTGGAGGATGTGATCATCCCGTTCAGACACATTCAGCAGCTCCTGATCTGACTCCTGACCGTTAGCATCACTCTGTTCAATCAGACATCGGATCATTACAGGACACAGCTGCTTTGTCCAAACTTTACATATTTGGACATAAACAAAACAGTGACTTTATTTTTCGCGCCTTAGACAGTCTGTACACATACATACTTAAACGATGTTGTACCTGTACAAATGTAAGGTCTTTAAGGCTCTGTTCTTTGCTTCAACAACGTCAGTATGTCAGTGAAAACAGGCAGAGATTCTAACCGCTGATTGGCTATCGAGAGACGGCTTCACGCAATTTCCTCGCTTTTCCGCATGGAATGCTTCTTTGTTTGTTGTTCACCGAGCTGGAAAAGAAAGGTTCATGTTTGTGAGATAAGAAGGAGACTTAAGGAAAATAAAGCTAATTTAGGTTCAAATCTGTAGCTTTCGCGTTGTGTAGCATGAATACTGTGACAAAGTCCTCAGTCGAAATGTATTTCTACAAAATAGAACATACATTAAAAAATTGGACACGTGGCTAACGAAGCACAGATGTGTACTGTAGCAGACAAAGAAAACAACAGTTTGATTAAAGTTGGACACAAATCTTGAACTGCTGAGTCATTGTAAATATATTGCAGAGGCATATTTGGCAGATCTACTGTGATCATTTGGTGCTACGAGGCTGTACCTTTTCTTAACTTAGTATCCCTTTCTCTCACACACACACACACACCGGCATCCACTTAAGGATAGGCACACACACACAAACGCACACAAATTAGCATAGTCATGCACACAAACAGCTTGCGCACATCAATTATGCTGTACACAGACACAAAGAGTGCACACACACATATAACTCACACACTCACACACGGTTGGCTCCGCAGCAGCTAATTAGTCTTTGTCTCGGCGGTTTTGTATATTATCACTAATGTCGGGGCCCGGGGCTCTGTTCTGCAAGCTCAGCAACTTTTTCTCGCTGCATCAAACCCCCAGAGTTTCCAGGCAGAGGAAAAACATAAAAATATTATCTGTTGTGTTGCAAACAGTATGAGTCACAAGAGCAACGATACGGCAGCGGGGGGAATTAATGGTCGATGCTCCAGCAGAAGAACAACAATCTGAGAAGGAAAATATCTCTCAGCATCTGCAAGATAGATACACACTGTTAAAGTCTCCTATGCAATTTGCACGTATTAATGAAAAGGTAATATGCATATATTAGGAGGAAAGTTTGCACCTTTCCCTGCAAATGAGCATCATCGCAAAGATCAGTACGTTGTGTCTTCGAAAGGACTTTTGTTTTATGTTAATGACGTATTTTGATGGCAAAGACAGAGAAAGTAAAATCAATGTATGTGCATATCCCCCACATCCTGTGCCATCAGTCTGACACTACACTGTTATGCTAAGTTCATATGTTTACCCAATCCAAACTCTTAAAAAGCAGAAAAAAGGTTCCCCAAAAAACTTCAAACATAGTGTAACGCTTGAGCGGAAGAAGCATTGGTAGAGGAAATGCAAAGACAAACTCTCCTCAGGTGTTTTGTTGTGTGAAAAGAGAAATTGGACAATTAATGGCAGGTAGTCAAAACTATACAATTCCCTTTCAAGAAATGTTAGCACTCCAAAGCTAGTATTGCCAGCACTCAGTGAGTATCGATAGAAGTAACTGTAGCCTACTGTTGCTTTTAAAGGCCCTGACACACCTACCCGATTTTGGGAGTCAGAGGCCGTCAGAGGCAGTCGGGCATTCGCGGCGCCCTACTCAGGTTAGTGTGTCCCGCACCGTTGTTGCTTTACGGCACATTTTCACACCTCCCACGGCCTCCCGCGGCCAAAGAAAGTCAGCCAAATAAATCACTCTGATTGGCTGTTGCCTCTTTTGAATGACGAATACACACTACCGCTGCCTGCTGGTAAGGACAGTTATTGCCACTCGTCGACTGAAGTCTTTGCGTGTGTTCGTAGGCGGGCGGCGTAGCGGACGTAAAAGTCGGGGCGCCTTCGGTACGTGTTCTTTGGTCTCAGGTTGGTGTGTAGCGGCCTTTAGGGCTCATTTAAAGAAAAACTAAACCTGAGCTTACTGTTATGATATAGTTACTTTCTTGGCCTTTTATTTTGAAAAAACAGGTCTCTTCCTGAGCAAGGAAACAGTAACTCAATGGGCCTTTAATTCAAATAAAAGGCCTAAACCTGAGCTTTGCAAAACGATGCAGTTATTTTCTGGCCCTTTTATTTTGAAAAACAGGCCTCCTCCTGACCCTCCATGCAAGCATACAGTAAATCAATGGGACTTTCATTTTTTTTTTAAACGACGATACAGTTTTTCTATAGGCTTTTCTTTTTATAAACATGCCCGTTAGTAAAGTCCCAGAAAGGAAGTCCAAGGAAAAGTCATCAGCGTTCAAGGGCGTTTAGTGGAGTCAGAGTTCAGCTGAGGAGACGGAGCATCTGGAACAGGGTTGCACATAACTTTTTTGCCCTGGTTCTCAAAGGAGCACCTGGAGATGTTGCTTGGTGCTCATCCTTAAAATGAAATAAACCGTAACTTTTGAGGGGGTCTTGACTTTATTTGCCAGACACACGGCACTGAACACACAGAGGTGAACACAGAACACACATGCAGAGGTGAACACAGAACACACATGCAGAGGTGAACACAAGACAACATTAGCACGACCAGCTGTCATCACTCACTACCCTCCTGACTGTTCTCCTCACTGTCTTCCTCTCGGTCAGACATGGTAGCTGATGATGTAGGCCTACTTCTTTCTCTCTGGTTGAGTCTGCGATTAGCTGCTTGCATCCACAAGTCAACAGCTGGGTTTGGGTCGAAAGTCTCTGTTGTCATCTTAGACAAGTGGATGTAATCAAATAAGTATGTGAACATAACCAATAACCTACCATAGCCAATAACAAATGAATGTAACTTATTTTATTTATGTTGTTCATTCATATCTTATTTTACCTTAACATTTATTTATTTATGCATTTGTTTTTATCTCTCCAGTTTTAAAGGATATTTTTTGGTTACTGTCCTATAGTATACATTGGAATGATTTCAAACCTGTTCATCCCAATAATTATAAAGGAGAGCCTTGGAAATATGTGTTTACATAAATTGTGACCAAACCGTTTGAACTTAGACTAAAGTTAACTATCTAAACACTCAGAGTCCTTTACCTCACTGAGCTGTAGTTATCAGCCTCTCAGTCTGACTGGAGAGGACTCTCCCTCCACATTATTGTAGAAACATCTTCTTCTTATATCCGTTAAAGCAGCTAGCACCAGATCCTAATAACAACAGCGCCGGTACCGGTGCACCCTCCCTCTCTCTCTCGCTCACTCGCACTTTGGCTGTGAGCTGCGGGCGCCAGATAAGCCAACATCCCCCATTTTCATCACTTACAGCGCCCATCGTACAGGGCAAATGAAACGTGTAACCGGGGTGAAAACGGTGTACATTTACTTAATTGTGAATATTGTTACATCAAGGCCGAAAATTAGGATGAGCACCAACGGTCAAAAATGTTTTTTTCCCTCCCAGAGCTGCCAGCGCAGCGCCTCCACAGATCTGGCGCCCTAGGCGAACATCTATTACGCCAGTGCTACGGGCCGGCCCTGGGTTCATATGCAACTCGCAAATATATTTCTCTCTCTCTCTTCTCTTTTCTCTCTTCTCTCTCCTCTCTTCTCTCTTCTCTCTCTTCTCTCTTTTCTCTTCTCTCTCTTCTCTCTCTCCCTCTCTCTCTCTCAATGTTGGTACGCAAATGCGCCTTTTTTCAAATGACACGGTGCTCTTTTTTTGGCGGAGGTGCGCACCTGCGCACCAGTCATGTGCAGCCCTGATCTGGAAGGATCTGTTTGGTAAAAATGGAGAAGGGCAAGCTCCTTTGAAAAAATGCAAACAGGCATACAGCAGGACCTCAGGACCCCGACACTTGGTCTGTGTCCAAGGAGCAAGAAATACAGCGTCAGAAAAACTCAAACTCAAAAATCCAAACAACTAAAATTATACTTTATGATCAGCTTTGTTCCGGAACCCTCTCTTCTATCCAAAGGTTATCCAAACAGGAATTACAGTCAAGAAAAAACACAGGTCACTGATACACAAAGTTTCTTGGCCTTGGTATTGAATATTAAATATCATGAAACATGTTTTACATTGCTCAATAGATTCAGGTTGAGATACACCAGAGTCAGTGTATGTTCTATAAAGATCTGCAATATAAGGGATAATTTTGTCACAACATTTTTTTTTTAAAACACTTAAGTGCTGTCATTTTTCTGAAACTGACAGAGGGTCAAATGTGATTGCAGCAGAATCCCCCAAGCAGATGTTTTTACATTGATATTGAGGCTTCAGCTGGTGTGTTAATAGCTGAGGAGGCAGGAGGCAGCCTGACATCCTAAGTGTCTTTAAGGCCTTTAGCATCACCAGACTCCCTTTTTACAAGAACATGTGTGTTTGTTATTATTGCCAAAAATGGTTAATTAGACATTTCTAAAGTTCGCCAATGTTTTATATCTTAGGTACAGTTTATTTTCAAGATGAAAGATGATTTCAAGAGTATGTGTGATCATTTGTTTTGATATGTGAAGAAGTTCAAACAAGCCAAACTCTTGATTTGAAAATGTCCACAGGACCTGAAAAGCAACCATTATTAGCAGCCAATGGGACTTTCAGCATCGTCTCACACCTCATCCTCACATGCTACTTTTACAGTAAGGTGTCAAGTTGAGAAATCACACATTAGCTATAACCACGAGTAGGCCAACTAATTAGAGCACATCTCCTAAAGAAAGAAATCTTTATAATAAATACATTAATAGTCACACCTTTTGTTCCCTCTTTGTGTTCAGCAGCTCATTAAACAGGAAGCAGTCTCGGCGGCGCGACGACAAGCTGCTCCCCCCCCTCCTGTCCCCGCTCTCTGACGGCCCCCCTCGGAAACGAACGTGTGACAGCAGTTCCTCTCTCAGCCAGGAGGGCGCTGCCACACTGCCCTGCTCCTCCTCTTCCTCCTCCTCTTCCTCACACAGACACAAGAGAGGGGAAGAAAAGGCGTCATCACATGCGAGGAACGGCAGCGTAAGTACTCCAAAATATTTGAGTGTATGTAAATAAGTACATAAAAGTAATTGTTCTCATGAAAATAATATACCAAGTTTTTAAGATATATACAAAGTTGAGCTATCAGTGATTGGATGTAACTAAGTACATTAATTAGTGTAATTTTCAGGTACTTGTAATTGAGTATTCCCATTATCTGCCACTTTATACTCCACTAACATTTTGTGCTTTTCATCCCGCTACATGTATTTGATATTTGAATTGATTAGTTATATTTTACATAAATAACATCATGTGTGTATATGATAAATAAGTATAAACTACTTCTAATCTACTCGGTAGTAGATTAGCTAGATTGGCTAAATGATGCACTGCGTGCTAATAGAACCGTCCTTAGGGCAGCAGAGCGGAAATGGTGGAAATCCAAACACCGTGACGACCTCCTAACCTATCAAGCTCTCCTCTCCTCTTTCTCTGCTTCAATCTCTCAGGCAAAAAGCACTTTCTTTCAAGATAAGATCCAATCTTCCTATTCCAATCCTAAAAAACTATTTTCCATCTTCTCCACCCTCTTGGACCCTCCAAAAGCTCCTCCCCCCCTCCTCACTTCTGTCAAGCGACTTTGTTACCCACTTTGAAAAAAAGGTTAATGATATTCGCTCTTCTTTTTCTGACTCACCTTTACTCACCGCTGGGTCACCAGACCCTCCTTCCACCAACACACTTACCTCCTTTTCCCCTCTCTCTCCAAGTGAGGTTCTTACCCTCATTACCTCTGCCCGCCCTACCACCTGTCCTCTGGACCCTATCCCTTCAAACCTCCTTCAGACTATCGCTCCTGATATTCTACCGTTTCTCACCCATTTCATCAACTCTTCTCTAACTTCTGGTCACTTTCCAAACAGTCTCAAGGAGGCAAGAGTAAACCCTCTCCTAAAGAAACCCACTCTCAACCCGTCTGATGTTATAAACTACAGGCCTGTCTCTCTCCTCCCGTTCCTGTCTAAAACACTTGAACGCGCTGTCTTTAAACAACTCTCCTGTTATCTCAATCAGAACAACCTTCTGGATCCGCACCAGTCTGGTTTCAAGGCAGGTCACTCCACAGAAACTGCTCTCATTGCTGTCACGGAGGAACTGCACACTGCCAAAACTGCATCCCTCTCCTCTGTCATCATCCTGTTGGACCTGTCTGCTGCATTCGACACGGTGAATCATCAGATCCTCCTTCGCACTCTCCAAAAACTTGGAGTTTCAGGCTCTGCACTTTCCCTCCTCACCTCATACCTGAAAGACCGTACCTACAGGGTGACTTGGAGAGGGTCTGAGTCCGACCCTTGTCAATTAACTACGGGGGTCCCTCAGGGCTCTGTTCTTGGTCCCCTCCTCTTCTCCTTGTACACAAACTCGCTCGGATCAGTCATTAGCCCGCATGGTTTTTCTTACCACTGCTACGCTGACGACACCCAATTAATTCTGTCCTTTCCCCGCTCAGAGACCCAGGTCGTTGCACGCATCTCTGCTTGTCTAGCTGACATCTCTCAGTGGATGTCTGCTCACCACCTCAAGCTCAACCTTGACAAGACTGAGCTGCTCTTCCTCCCGGGAAAAGATTGTCCAACTCTTGACCTGACAATCAACATCGGCACCTCAGTTGTTTCCCCGACTCAGACTGCAAGGAATCTGGGTGTGACCCTAGATAACAACCTGTCCTTCACTGCAAACATCGCTGCTACAACCCGTTGCTGCAGATACACGCTTTACAACATCAGGAAGATACGTCCCCAGCTGACTCAGAAAGCGACTCAGGTTCTGGTCCAGGCTCTCGTCATCTCACGCCTAGACTACTGCAACTCCCTCCTGGCTGGTCTACCTGCATGTGCCATCCGACCTCTGCAGCTCATCCAGAATGCAGCGGCTCGTCTGGTTTTCAACCTTCCTAAATTCTCCAACACCACTCCGCTCCTCCGCTCCCTTCACTGGCTTCCGGTAACTGCTAGAATCCACTTCAAGACACTGGTACTTGCTTACCGTGCTGCGAATGGATCTGGCCCTTCCTACATCCAGGACATGGTTAAACCGTACACCCCAGCGCGTGCACTACGCTCTGCATCAGCCAAACGACTCGTTGCGCCCTCGCTGCGAGGGGGACCCAAGTTCCCATCGGCGAAAACACGTGGGTTTGCTGTCCTGGCTCCAAGATGGTGGAATGAGCTCCCCATTGACATCAGGACGGCAGATAGCTTGCACATCTTCCGGCGCAAACTGAAAACTCATCTCTTTCGACTCCACTTCGAGCGTTAGAACGATTAACGAAGCACTTTTATACTAATAAAGGACTGGATTACCTAAAGCCTGTTGAGTAGCACTTGAAATGTTTGGCTCTATGAAACCTGATATACTTATATGATTCTGTTTTCTTCAAGGTTGTGTCTTCCTGGTCGAATGTACTTATTGTAAGTCGCTTTGGATAAAAGCGTCAGCTAAATGCAATGTAATGTAATGTAATGTAATGTAGTACACAAAGTATCTACATTTGCTTTACTTTGACCAAAATACATAATTGAAAAACTCTTATATGTACTGTATTTGTAATTGATAAAAATACAATATGATGTTCTATAATTATAAGACACTTTTAAAAGAGCTAATGAGGACTACTTAAACCTAAAGTACACTTTGCGGATAACTCTTCTGTACTTCTACTTAACAAACATATGGAACCCAGGACTTTTACTTTTAATGGAGTATTTTTAAACTGCGGTATAACTTCTTTGACCCAAGTAAATGATCTCAGCACTTTCCCACCGCTGCACACTGTCACCATGTTAGGAGAATAGTACTGTACTGTCATTATCTCCGTGCAAAATGGAGTTTCTCACCTGACACTGACACGGCTCCAGAAATAACCGTGGAGTTAATGACATGCCAGGATGTACTGCATGACACACATCTCCACTGAAGCGACTCATATGTCCTCACCTCAGGAGTTTCAGAGCCAAAGTCACTCAAACATATCCTCATATCCGTATTTGGTTCAGCGGTAGAAGAAGAATGTTGTATACCAACTGAAAATGCTACAGTATAGTATTTATACAGTACAACTGAAAGTCAATGCATTCCACATTTTACCAGTAAGAAGTATTCAAAAGAACAAAAGTATCAGTATCACAAATATATTTAGGGTAACAAAAGTCAAAGTAAATGCAGAACAGACCTTCATAATTATATTTCTAGGTCATAACTGTTAATGCATTGTTGTGTTGACCTTGACATTTTTTCAGTTAACATAATTCTGTATCAGAAATCTAAATATGCCAAGTTATAACTAAATAAAGTTATACAAAAAAAGAACAAAAAATCCTCTAATATGTAGTGGAGTAGAATATATTATACTTATACTGTAGTTATAAATATGGTAACGCTTTAAAATAATAGACAGATGCAAAAGATTCTACAAAAAAGATTTCCACGTAAACTACCTAAATAATGTTCATAGAAAGATATTCTTAACATCTTTAAGATGCATTGTGCATGGTTTTCATTAAACATTTCAGAAGTTTTTTAGAATAAAAATCTCTTTCTGCACAAATGTAAATTCACTTTCTAAATAGTTTCTCTACATTCTTTAAACCCCTTTTTATTAGAATGCCAGCAATACAATTCATTAACTAAATGAATCCATCACTGAGAATCAGAAGCCAACATACTAAAGGTTCAAGTTTCTCTAATACCATAACCATTCTTTATCCTGTCTTGACTGCAGGAAGTTGATACCCGCAATGAGAAGCCCAGTGGAGACAGTTACCATGCCAACGGACCGTCAGACTCGGAGGTGTGGTCGGAACCTCGCCGACCCAGACTGTCATTCAGCGACACGTACGTAGAAACACACCAACACTTTATATACACTAATACACATTAGGATGGTGGATATGAACTGCAATGTATTCTTAGTTTTTTATTTGTATAATTACACATTTCTCATGTTTTTCTCCTCATTGTTCACTAGACATTTGAGTCTGTATAATGCTTGTAAAAGTAATCTCTGGATTTCCTGTGTTATTAGTGAGCAGGTGTTTCCCCTTTTCAATGGGCGTGTGTTTACATAATTCCACTGCACATATAAATGTTATGCTGCGTTCACACCGGACGCAATGCGAATATTCCTCCTGTGGAAGTCCTACAAACGTAGCGACAAACGCCGTCGTGTCTGGGTTCTTATTCTCCTCCTCCTTGTTGCGGTCCCGGTAGATATACGACATTGTATCGTATATATCCGGGAACCCACTCACAGCCACAACGGTCATCTCTTCCATCTTTACAACTGATCAACAGCAGGACGTCAGAGGGAATCCCAACGCTGATTGGCTTTCGCGAGAACGCGCAACGTGAATTTGACGCTCGATTTGAAAAAATTGAACTCTGGCGTTTAACGCAGCCCACTTCAATCGCCTCAATCGCATGATTCGGGCCGCGTCCACCACTTCATGCGCGCCGTCGGAGCGAATTCGCGTCTCTCCGCATCTCTACGCGTCTCTACGCGTCTCTACATTGACTTTACATGTAATCGCGCCGCCCCCAAAAATCGCAGCATCGCGTCCGGTGTGAATGCAGCATTAGGCCTCGTTTGGTGTCAGAATATTTGTTTTATTTAAGTTGAGATAACTTCTTACTTCTAATCAAGACTGAGAAGATATTTCTCAGTGTTTTATATTCAACAAAAGTGTAATAACTGTAAACTTCTGAACAAAATCAAAAGAGAAATATGCAGTTTTGCAAAGTAATACATAATCATTCTTATGTGCTCGATAGGCCCTATTATACTTTTGGGGGTATTCCCTTTCCTATAGTGTGCTATAGCTTTCCGTGCATGTAAATGAGGCTACAATCCTACAGTCCAACCAATCAGAGCAGACTGGGCTCTGGTTTCAGACAGAGGGTGAAAAGAGGTGCTGCAGCACAGGCAGTATGAGAACAATAAAGAGCTTTGTGAACATTAGAGCATGGAAACAGTTCACAGTAGAGACACTACATACAAATGTAAACCTGAAAATAAGCATGATAGGGCCTCTTTAACGGGTCAACCTTTTCCACATCTAAAATATGCAAATGTGTGATGTCATCTAGCAGCTTTTAGCAGTTTTTGGAGATAGTGCTAGCTACTTTATTTGTAAAGGTTTGGCAGCACTTTATAGGACAGGCTGCAACCCTAAGAATCATAATGGGTGGCAGGCAAACATTAAAACATGAAATGAACATTTACTTCATAATGATAAAATCAAGCAGAAACGTGTCTTACCTTGAAGCACCGGATGATCTGAGGCAGTGTAGCCTCATCATGCTGTGTATGAGGTAAAGGATCTGTAAGCACTTCACCACTGGTCCAGTTGTTGCAGAGATGATACATCTTGTTACTTATTCGTCCCAAAGGGCTGCTGCATTATTCATGAAACAACATGTTTTCTTGTTAGACTAAGGTTATACTAAGCCTGAGGTATGCAGGCTACTGTATATAACTCACCGCAATGATTATGTAAATCACTTTGCAATGTTTTTATTAGTTTTTGTTAATCAACGTGTCAGTGCAAACAAGCTGTTTATGTTGTTTCTCCCTGCGCTGTGTTCCCAGAGTCCACAGTGCTGACTACTACATGCAGGAGGCCAAGAGACTGAAGCACAAGGCCGATGCTCTGGTAAGACACACACACACACACACACACACACACACACACACACACACACACACACCTCCGCGATCGAGAACATACAAGGAGAAGACAAATAGAAAATGATTTTTAAACGCACCATGTTAACGTCTGCGGTCTAGACTGTAATTATGTGTTTTCTCGTGTGTGCGCACAGCGAGTCTCCGAAGAGTACAAATCTATTCCATATCGAGTACAGTACTGTATCATTGTGTTATTTATTGCACCATTCGTCTCCAAGGGAACATCGCATTCGAGGACTGATGATGTCTGCAAGATTATACAATATCAAAATAATTATCCCGTCCCTCCCGAACAATGAAATGAGATTTATTTAACTTGTTATTTATCTTCCCGTTTGTTTCCGCACATTTATCCGGGGATTTGCATCTCAGCGGGAGATTATTCAAAGAGTGCCACAAAGACTTATTCTGTCTCCGCCTTAAATCCATGTCTTGTC